TTTGTACATCTACGTGGTCGGAAATTGAGAATTCTTCATTGAAACGCAGCCAGGATGGACCAAGGAAATGTCATGACCTGGCGGAATCCCATGACAGAATTTCGGGCATTACAGATAGAAAGGACTTGACTAAGCGAATGAAATCCGCTTATGATTGGATTCGGTTCCAGCCAATTCGGAACAGCGGGAACAAGCGGTTACTGAGCTTACACAACAAAGCAGCAACATTCTGATGAACCAATATCACGCAAAAGACAAATACAACATTTTACAAGTTGAGCCTACATCAACCACAACAATCGACGCTATCAAATTAATTCTACCTCAAATTCCAAATGGATCCAAGATTGTTAGTATGTTTCTTCTCACTCGAAACGTAGAATCACAACAGACTTACGCACGGGACGATATCAACGATACTCAAAGAGTGTGGAGACGGATGCAGTGGGTGAATCCATCAATTCTTCGAACAAGAGTGCTGGTTGTGTTGGAATACACGGGTGGCACTCTATGTGTTTGCAGCTGTAAGCATTTCAAGCAAATGGGACACTGTTGTCGGCATGTTTATGCTGTGACTGGCTTGAAACCGAACAAAACACATGCACAAACAAGGTTCTGGAAAATCTACATGAAGCTTCAGGAAGATTCCATTGCACCTGAATTGAAACAAGCCATCTTGAGAATGCAACAAGCAAGCGAGAAGCTACCTGGTACCCCTGTCCTCGAACCGAGCATGTGGATCAACACATCGCATCCAAAAGCGAGTAACAATCTCCCGTTTTTGCAGGAGATGCTTGATCGGGTTAAGCAAGTAAGAATCCAATTGACTGATTCGTTTTGGAATACTCAACAAGGTCAATCAATACTTGTTCAAGTGCATGCCGGAAAGAGGCACTATGGATGGACATCAGATATGCCCTTACCACCGCACGGTTTACAACAAGACATTTCACAATCAGAGGTTCGGGCCAATGAAGACATTGACTCTTTCGATGTTTCTAGTTTTGATTATGGTGATTACGGTGACGGCGACGGTGGTGATACATCTATCGAAGGCGACGTGCCTGCCGCAGCAGACTTGGCCAGACAAGAAAGACAGGAAAGAATCAAAGCTACCCTGAAACATCCTGGTGCTTTGTTTGCTAGTGCATCCCCACTGTTTGGGGAAATACTCAAACGCACAAGGACTTCCCAGAGGTAGAGAAACTTGGAAACATGCGTGGGGGCGGATGAAGCAATTTTCCATTTGCATCATCGGAGGTGATGTATCCCATTGCCTCAATGATAGACCAATCATAGATCAAATGTGGTTCATCAGATGGGAAGGTAATGGGAGGCCAATAATACCGCGAATGTGCAAAACCCTTTAGGGAAAACTCAAAAGCATTTCCAGTTGCATTCAACAGAACTAAAATGGATTTGTAAATCATGTTCTGGTGTGCCGCCAAATGATCGATATGGTCTTGTTTCGATTGTGCGGTATTGTCAAATCCATGCTCAGTGTCAGATGAAGGTAAGCGGGTCATGACTCTGTCATCCACACCATAGGAGTCGGAGCCATGGCAGCTTCAGTGGGGCATCTATGAAAGTAGATTGCAAGAACCTCGATTTTTGGACATATGGTATCATCACTAGAGGGTGGATCATGCATGAATTTGTATTGGATGATGGGCTGCATACAAATTTCTCCCAGAGGGATGTCCTTATCCAACTTGTAACAGGAGTTACAGAATCCATATGTTGATTCACCCGATACAAAATTGCGTTGAGTGCATGTGAACTTTTGAAAGGCAGAATGCAGAGGATTGGTAGCATCCAAAGATTTCTTCAGTTCTGACACTGGTCTGTGGCTCTTGCAGTGGATAGGATTCATCCCCAACCCTCTGCACACACGAAACATTTCATCTTCAAGACGCTTCCATTCGGGTTTGCAAGCAGTGTTGATATTCTTTTTCAAGCTGGTTTTGTTCTCTGAATCTTCATAACTTGTAGGCTCGCCAAGAATCTCACGGTTTCCATCGAATACAGCAGTGGCCAAAATTTCTGGCAAGAGTCTACTGCTTCCATCCAAATTCTCGTAGTCTGAATGAATATCCTGCTTTGTTGGGAGATACTCCACATTAAATTGACTCGGTGTAGTCATTGTGGAATGAAAACTCGGCAAAAATCCTGTTCGTTTGCACAGGCGACGGGTGCCTGTTCGTTTGCACAGGCGACAGTTGCCTGTTCGTTTGCACAGGAAACTTCCTGTTCGTTTGCACAGGCGACGGGTGCCTGTTCAGTAGTACAGGAAATGAGAGTAAATCTCCTCTCTTGACCAGATGGAGGTATTCTGTTTCAGACTGTAGAAGTGGCTCCCTTAGATGCTCAAGTGAAAGAATAGATGGTTGCAACTTCCTGTGTTTTCCTCTTCTCAGAAAATGAAAAAGAAATCAGGAGAAATGAAGTCCAAATCTCTCAGTGACAAACCCAAAAGCCACAAGCCACAAATGACTGCAAGAGACAGATATGATAGTGGTAGAAGTAGTGGTAGCAGTAGTGGAAGGATCAGTTGTTCTTGTTCTTATGCTTATGCTTGTCCTTCCTTGCTGCTGTTGCTGTTGCTGTTACTGTTACTGTTGTTGTTGCTGAAAATGAAGAAGACTCCAACCAGCATGCACGTCAGATTTCCTGTGCAAATTGCACAGGAAGCACGTCGGATTGCCTGTGCAATTGCACAGTCGCCTGTTCAATTGCACAGGAATCGCGTCGCCTGTTCAATTGCACAGGAATCGCGTCGCCTGTTCATTTGCACAGGAATCGCGTCGCCTGCCAGGCCAAAATTTGACTGCAGGCTGGCTCTCTAAAAATCCTGTTCATATGCACAGGCTGTATGTAGTGCTCTCTACCCCCTGTCCCAGACACGACGTTATGCCTTCTTTGGGGCACTGCACTTTATTGCTCGCTATTTCTAAAGACTGCAACTACAGAAACATGGAAGAAAAGAATTAACACCTACAATACTATAAAACAACAGAGTTGACAAACAAACCACAGGATCAAAGGTTGCTGCATTTTTGACTTGACAACTTCAATCCATTCCTTGCAAGTCTTGGTGTATGGATGATCTGCTCCCAATACTGGCTCCCGAATGGCAAGGCACCCCTCAAATTTCAACAAGGCTCCGGAATAGTCGCCCATCCTATACATCACCCCGCCAATGTTGTAGTAGGCAGCTGACTCTAAAGGATGATTCTTGCCATGTGCTGACAATATAATCGCAAGAGCTTCTTCATACTTTGTCAAAGCACCATCAAAGTCGCCCATCTCCTGCAAAACAGAACCAATGTTGTTGTAACTGACTGCAACATCAGGATGATTCTTGCCCAATGCTGACAATTGAATGGCAAGAGCTTCCTCATACTTTGCCAAAGCACCTTCATAGTCACCCATCTTAGATAAAACAGCACCAATGAAGATGTGGGTGGTTGCAACATCAGGATGATTCTTGCCCAATGCTGACAATCGAATGGCAAGAGCTTCCTCATACTTTGCCAAAGCACCTTCATAGTCACCCATCTTATATAAAACAGAACCAATGTTGTTGTGGGTGGTTGCCGCTAAGGGATGATTCTTCCCCAATGCTGACAATTTAATGGCAAGAGCTTTCTCATACTTTGCCAAAGCACCTTCATAGTCGCCCATCTCCTGCAAAACAGAGCCAATATTGTTGTTGCTACCTGCCACAGAAAGATGATTCTTGACCAGTACTGACAGTCTAATGGCAAGAGCTTCCTCATACTTTGCCAAAGCCCCTTGATAGTCACCCATGGCATGCAGAACAGAACCAAGACTGTCATAACTGTCTGCTGTTTCTATGCGATTCTTGCCCAAAACAGTGTCACAAATTTCCAGAGCAGTCTGGTGGAGTTTCATGGCTGCATTGTGTTCTCCGTTTGCCAAAAGTATAGACCCAACTTTGTTACAAAAGGCGACATAGTCCTCATCATTTGTGTTTTCTCTAGTCTCCACCAGCTGAGTCAGGACACCATGCATCCATCCACGCAACAAGTCATTGACTCGATGGTTGAGCACAGAATATCCAACATCTGACTTCACCTTGGTTAGAATAGCCAGCCTGTCACTTTTGACAGATGCCTTGGCATTTTCAACTTTGGTGTTGCCAAGTGTCTCATAGAGAGCATTGATGCCTCCTTCGTTATCAAGAACATCCTGCTCTAGAGATTGCTTCTCCTTGGGTGGCATGACAATATCTACTTCGCACCCATCTGTGGTATGAGCTGTAAAGATCTCAAAAATACACCAGACTCGAGTGGTGTAGATGGGTGCTTTCCATGGAGCCATCATGGCCAGCAAATGACCAATCTTTTTGACTCGTTCTCCAAAAATGGCAAAGAAATCCACTTTTGCAGGGGCAATCATTCCTGATTTCTGCTGAGTGGAACTTTGCACAACCCTGTGCTGATTGACGCAGAGGCAGCAGATCCAGATATAGGTCCTTTTGGGATTGAGGTTGTTCCGGAGGCAGAAGTCAGTTAGAGTATCCACAATATCGCCGATGGCGTAATCCCACGAATAACTGAGCATATGAGTTGCCTCTCCAACGTGGTCGTCTCCTTCTAGACAATGGACGTAGGCAGCACCCATTTTCTTGTCTACCGGGCAAACAGTGTTGGCACTCTTTGATCGGATGACCCCAGGAGGACCTCGTAGATCCTCAATGTCATAGACCTTGGACTCTTTTGAAAGAAATTTTCCTGTTGAGGCATGATTGGAAGCACAGACTTCTTTTTCCAGAAAGAAGTGCTCCAAATGGAAGACACTGACTCCTAGAGTATCCAGCTGCGTTGATTGAACGTGCGATTTGTTTTGGTGTCCATCATTATTCCCTTCTGGTTGCTTGCGTGAGGAGTGTTGAGACGTCCCCACGTCACCTTCCTGGCAATCTGCTTTGGAATCCATCAGCGATTGACGGTATGGATGATCGGTGTTGTGTTTGTGTGGATCGAGTTCGGCTGGGTCAAAAATCCAGAACGACGGAATGGTGGGGCTGTCTCTCTTTCCTTTCTCTGGTTCGTTCGATGGATGGATTTCTGGATTGGAAAAATTATGGATCCAACAATAATCAATACCAACAGACCGATCTTTTCAGACGGGGTTTTGAAACTCACGACTGCGCGATGGTTGTTTTTTATTCATTGCTGTTGTCGGTCTTTCCAGTCGGGCTTTTGTGGGCTGGCTGGCTGTCTTTTGCCAACGTCTATCTGAAGAATGCTCGGAGTCAACAGTCGCACACTAGCACAGTCAAGAGAGACCCCAACACACACATGTCGACAATTAAGCAATGCCCACACCGGTATGCCAATACGGTAGCTGTTGAGATGGGCGAGGGACGACAACAGCATGTATTGATATCAGCATCAGCATCAGCGCAGGACAAGAAAGAAAAGAAAGAAAAGAAAGATGCTGGTTTTGGAATGAAGCGTGGTTTCCTGCTGGACAAGCCCAAGAAGAAAAAGACAAAGACTACTGTGAAGAAAGCAACGGCAATCCCGTCGTCGAGTGCCGCATTGTTGGATTTGGAGGAAGCGGTGTGTACTTCTTCTTCTTCTTGTTGTTCTTTAGTAGGGAGTAGCAGTACTCATGATACAAATACGACAAGTCAGTTTCTTCAAGTTGTTGCATCCGCAGCAAACGACGACAACCACCACAATGATACTTCCACGCTTCCTTCCACGCTTCAATCCACGCTTCTTCCGGTGCTCCAACATGACCTTGAGAATGCAGAATCCTCCTCCATGGAACTGGTGGAAGTGGACTCCCATGCCACGCGACACTCAATATCAGTAAAAGAAAAAGAGACATCGCCTACATTTCTGGAATGGCAAAAAGACTTGGATCGAACTCTCTGGTCGCTCCGACGACGACGCCAACCACGACGACAATGGCAGAGTGTGGCACACGCATTTTGTGAATCGCTCGATACAACAGCATTCTACCACACTGTGTGTTGGGACATTCTCCTCGACCAACCGGAATTGGCGGAACGGCGTCTGGGATGGGCGTTGCTTCAGACTTGCAATGCGTGGGACAGCTTTGTCTCGTACTTATTATTATTGCCGTCGCATGAGGATCGCCGACGGACCTTGGGAGCCGTCGTCATTTTGGAATTTTTTGCCAGTCAGGACATGACACCACCACCACTCCACTTGATCCAGGCCATACAATTGCTGGGACAGATCGTCACCACCACCACTACTACGACGCGGACCGTGTTGGTACAACAGTGTCTAGTGACAATCTACAAATTGGTCACTGTCTTGGCATCTACCACAGCAGTCACAACAGGTACATCCAGCATTACACAACAACAAGTCTGGGATCTGTCTGCACAAGTGCTCGTGCCGGTATGGGATCGCCACTTGGCATGGACCATGCCGCCAACATCATTGTTGTTGTCCAACAACATTGACAATGACACTGCTGGACAACGAGTGGCGGCTCGCAAACAATGTACCAGTCTCGTATTGCAGAGCTGGAAACAGTCGTTTATTGAGTTGCAACAACAAAACGACATCGACAATATGAATACAACGGAGGTGCATTCCACGTGGTGCCAGCACCTCCGGGGAATACCAGATCGTCTGGGAATTCATGGTACGATTATTGGCAGTCTTGGTCAAACGCTGTGCCGTGACGAAATAATGACATTGGAGGATGTTCGGGCATTGATATTGGGGGAAATGACGACAATACACAAAATCCACAACGACAGCCATGTCATTCTGGCGATTCTGCGCAGTGTCGTTGCATGGTTGGGGAGCAGCAAAAAGAATTGCCTTGGTTGGCAGGACCCACAAGAAATTGTGGAGCTCATGAGCAGAATCATGTATCACGCGTCGTTGGATTCCATTGTGCCACTGGCCATGCACATTTTGTAAGTGAATGCTCGTTGGCTGTAAAAAACAATGTGTTTGTGTTCTTGATCTCACGTCTTTTTTGTTTATTTGCTTGTTGTTGAAATGCCGTAGGAACATGTCGTGGCTAGAGTCATCTGGGGTACCATTCGTACCTCCCGATGTGGTGGCCTTTCACGAAAACAACGGCACCGGTGACGGTAGTGTAAACGAGGAGGACGATCCACAACAGATTCCAGAATCTTTACGGTTCTGGATACAATTGCTTGTTGGGCAAGATCCAACCGCCCAGCAAGACGACGCACCACAACAACAACAACAACCAGCCGATACACCATCCAACAACTCGACTCCGAACGAAACCGCCATTCAGCAACTCGCCGAACTCGTGGCAACGTCCATCCACTATTATATCAGTATGGACTTTCCAGATTCGGCCCAAGCAATCATCCGATACATGGTGGCTCAAAATAATAATGCCAATGACACGATGATGAAACCTTCCACGGTGCAAGTTCTTTTCCTGTTCTTGAAAAAGACTGGCGACAATATTCAATCAGATGATGGTGCACCGAAACGACAAAGTCTGCTGGATTATGTGGCGTGCGACCTGCTCTTGGACAACTTTCACACCAACCCAACCGTTCCAATTTGCCTCGGTCGTGCCAACGACGACAATGTGGATCTGTTTGTGGGTTGCTCCGTTCGTCTTGTCGTTTCCAGACAGATCCGACTACTGCTGTCATTAAAAGACAGTACTCTGGACAATAACAATTCGCCACAGCAATCCTCGCTGTTGCTGCTCTCCCTCTTGACCACTTCTCTGTGGAGGAGCCTTCGTTGTGGCAACGAAAAGACTCTGGTGGAAACCGTGATTTCTTCTTCCACCAGTGCGTCACAAGCTACAGCAATCGTGACTCGGGTGGGCGAGGCGTGGATGCACTCGCTGTGGGATGTCGATAACTCTGACGATGCTAAAGCCTTGGGGATAGTGCTATCTGCTGTTGGGAGTTCCATGTTCCAGCATCCATCGAGCACTGTCCCGTTGGCTCTGTTGGGCGCACTTTTGGGAGATGGTAGCAAGTTCGATAATGACCGCAGCAATCTAGTAGGTCCTAATTCAAGCAGCACAAGGAAGGAAGTTGTGTGGAATGCGGCCATGTCCATGATCCAAACCGCAGTGTCCCAACTCGATTCCATTTGTCGCGTAGTAGAGCCGATTGGAGATGCAAGTTCAAGCCCTACGAAAGGGTCCGAAATCTTTGGTCGTCTGGCTCCCCTTTTGCTGTTGCGACGGGCGCCACCAAAGCTCTTCCATGGAGCCTACCTGTCAACGGCGGATGATTCACACAATCAGGAAGAAATGAACGGGCTGCTCAAGAACCTTGCAGACCACCTTGCTGCTAGACTGGATATCACAGGAGCATCGACAACGAATGGCAAAGAATCCGATGGCTTTGTGGCTGAGGAGCGTCAGATGGCTGCGGAAGTCGCCGGTAGATGCCTTCCCTTCCACGAGAACAAGGCGGGGTTCTCTTTTGGTGGAGCTTCTTGTTTTGAACGCATTTGTCTTCCTGCATTCTTGGGAGTCCTGGATTTTTCCAAAGGAGATGCTGCGCTTTCCGAGAATGAAGGCAAGAGCAGAATCCGGCGAGCCAGAGCGGCGCTGTACGCGGCATGCCACTTTGTGCCGCTTTCCTCCAGTCTCGACATTGAATGTGTCGGCGAAGCGCTTGTCTCAACAGCCTCCTTTTGCCTGCATATCTTGAATGCGGACCAAGACGCCTTGGAATCCTCCAACCTTGAGAAGGATTTTTTGCAGCTACAGACTGGTTGCATCGAGTTCTTTGCCATATGCGTGGAAACAAGGCAAAGCCTGCAAATGCAAGCGAAGCCTCAAGAGAATGAAAGCTGCAATCACATTGAGCAGTTCTTGCAAGACATCTTCCAGGCTTTGTTAGAGATTGCCCAAACGGGGATGCTCAAGAGAACAGATCGATTGGGAAAGGGACCACTAGCACAGTCAACCACCAAGCGTTTTTCCACGCCGTGTATCACCTGTCTCTGGAACTCGCTCATCGTGGCAGCTCAAAGATGCTCGGAAGACGGTGGTCGCCTGCAACTTCTTGCGGAAACTATTCTCCCCCCTCTGGTTTGCTGGGGAAAGACCAATGACGCCCATTTTTCTTCTGCAGATAGAGCGGAACTGCACCCACTTTGTCTCACGGCTGCCTTACAATTGGCGTTCATCCTCGTCACACGGAGCAAATCCTTCGGAGGGCTTCCAGCTACCACGGTGTCGTCAGGAGCTAGCGTACAGGCACTGTTCCGATGGTCCCTCCTCGCAACTCAATCCGCTAAAGGAAGTGATGATTATGCAAACACTGGTCTTTGCTGCGCTGGTTTGAAGGTTATTCTTGCGGTCGTCACCATTTGCTATACTGAAGGGCATGATGGTTCAGCTCCGGCTCTCCTCCTGAGTGAAAAGGATCAAGCTGAAATACTGAAAACCATGGAACAGATTGCGACGCAAGATCGGGATCAAAAAGTTCGTGTTCTCGCAACTCATGTGCTTTCTGCCTTTGTCGGGCGATAGATTACACGAAGATTCTGGAGCTAGTGTTGCCTTGGACTTTCTACTAGTAGTAATCTCGTTCTATTCCCCGCGTATATGCAAATACTTCGACTTTCAGTCACAAAACCACACCCTGGATTATTGTAGTTTGTACCAGGTACATAAGACTCCCTAATAGTGTCCCTCCGCATCAAATGATCAATTCTTCCGATACTTTCTGTTTCGACACTAGTCCTTTTCCCCGTCACGATGCCAACAGCACTTGAATTCTACCATCCAAGTTTCGCTTGCCGTGGCTTGATTCGATTGACGCTCGATCGTCAACCAAATGATCGTCGAACTCGATAACTTGAATTCGTGGCTGGTACACATGCGTGGTACCGGCACCTTCGACCCTGCAACTTTGAACCTACTATTTCTATTGAAGGCAAGCAAGAGTCTAACTAATAATATATGGGTGTTCCCCAGGAGGCTTAAGCTATACTTTATCAATTCCATCTACATGTATGAACTGAGCCCAATATGGTGGAGGGTTCTTCAAAATTCTTGTCGTTGTCGTGGCTTGCCATCTGGAGAAGAAGGGAGGAAGAAAAGCAAGACCACGAATATCCCTGCCGACAAGACACCAATGCCCGAGCACAATTCAATCAGGGTATCCAAGTTGTGCCAGTTGTTTTCCCGAGTAATGCCCAAAGCAGTGACGAGAGGAGTTACCAAAATGGCCCCGATTTGATCTCCAAAATCAATGCAAGAAACAAGGCTTCCATACATGACATTGGTAGAGGCAGACGGTTTGATGGCCAGTTTTGGTGAGGTGTCTTCTTGTCCTGTGGAGGTCGTATGCAATGTCTCTTCATCATTGTGACAGTTGGATGACCTTTCTTGTTGATCATTTGTGGCGGCATCATCTGAGGTTGTCATCCAGGTTGCTTTGGTTTCTGATACGGATACAGTAGCCAATACAATGCTCGGCAGAAAGCTCCATTCCATGACAAAGGCAGAGAGTGACTTGATGGCCAGAACCATCCAGGGGAACATGGAGTGGCTTGTGTAGTCATTCGTGTGGACCACAAACAGATAGATATTCTGCAGAGAATGCTTGACCACAGTCAGCATGGCCATGAGAGTAATCAACTTTCTTCCGTGGCTGTACTGTGGTGCCCACAACTTTTGGTAGGACCATGACGCCAGCGTAATCATGCCCGTATCTGCCAAGGAAAAGACTTGCAACCAAACAGGTTGTGTTTGAAAGCAGTGATACAGGAAGGAACTCAAAATAGCCGAAGTATCTGGCACGGCGTGTCGCAAGATCAAGACGACACCCACCACATGGGACCAACTCAGATGAAGCCTGTTTTGTAGTGTTGTTCTTGTTGTTGTTGCAGTGCCCCGCCCATGGTGGCGATAACAGCAAAATGTCATTGTGGTGAACAAGACAACCAAACCGACAGCAATGAGGATGATGCTGTTGAGTCCTGCAAGTCCATCTAAAATCTGTTGCCTCATGGCGAGAAATAGAATGGACAATTGGAGTGCCACAATGATAATGACATTGATGCTGCACATGGAAGATGGAGGGTTGTCTTCGTCGTCACTTTCCGCATTGGAGTGTTCTTCTTCGTCATAATTTCCGTGGTGAACTTCCAATGCTGCATAGGAGGATGGCCATCTAGTAGTTTCTGTGGTTGTTGTTGTTGCGGATGGCACAGGTGTTGTTGGCGTTTCGATTGTGGCAACTGGCTCAAAGGCTTGCCGACAGACCACTACTAGGAAGAAGCTTGCAATATGGCACGCGGCTGTAGCCCAAAACAAGCCATCTACCAGTGATTCACTCCATTCTTCCTGAGTAGCAGTATTCATTCCAAACACAAGACACGTGACAATACTGGCTGATAGTGATCCCACATTTCGTGCCGTTGCTGCTTGGCTTTGAAAGACCGACGCCGATACCTCAAAGGTAGTAGTAGTAGTAGTAGTATCATGGTTGTGGTTGTTGTTGTTGTTGTTGGTTGTTGTGGATTGTTGTTGGTGCTGTGCTGCGCCTCTGGCATTGTCGAGTAACGTCAATCCCAGCAAAAATCCGGACCATGCCATGGCACATCCATTGGAGATTCCCACCACAAAGACCCATGGCACGGACGGCACCCATGTCCATCCAATCGCCGTGAGAGCACAGAGACCCCAACCCAACAAGAGTCCCTGGCGTTGACTGGCAAAATAGGTGGACGACCAAAAGGCATAGAGTGGCTTGAAGGAATAGGGCAAAAATGACAAGGCGCCATACGTGGGGAGAATCGAGAGTGGGAGTGGAACTCGAGTGTTGAGAATGTACATCATGGGTAGAGAGGGTAGGGACATGGTGAAGCCATAAATGCTGTAGGATAATAGTACTGCCAGTGGCAATGATGGCTTGATCAGATCATCATTGTCAGAAGATGATACTGAGGTACATGTAGTTCCATCATCCATAGCATCGTGTCCGGAACTCTGAGAAGCTGTGGTTTCGTCATGGTTTGGACTGAGCAAAGGTATCCGGATGGGAATTTCTTCTTCCTGCATTTCGTCTTCTTCTTCTTCTTTATTGTCTGGATGAGAGCCGTTTTCTTGTAATAAGTCAAACTTGGCTTGATCAGCTTTTTTATTAGTGAGCTTGGAAAGCTCTATTTCCATTGACCTTGAAACGGATCCACACCAGGTAGATCGGAAGTAGAATGCAGTTCCCTTTCTCTTGCATCTTTGTAGGTGGGGTTCCCATGGCTTTGCAAGCTCCGTTGGTGATGGGAAGGCCAATGGAAAATCAATGACAGCGGGAGCTGGAGGGTGGTCAAGAACGTGCGAGAGAGGGGTTGCTGAAGAACGTGCTTCGGGAATGGCGCTCTCCAAAAGGGTTGGAATTATGCACAAAGCCAACCAGTCCTTCCTTTTTAGAAGTATCAAAATAAATGGCCGGGAGGAGCAGGAAAACGCATTACACCACTACACAAGCCATTACACACTACATGGAAGTACTATTTTATAAGGGTATTCAACAGCTACCCTTTTTGGTTACATGAGCACTCAACAAGTTGCTCCTAGATTGGTTGGTTGTTGTAGTTGTTCACAGTGTGCCTAACACACATCAAAGCCATGGCTGTTGTTGAGTTTGTCTAGTGATGAGGGGTCAGGTTGTTATATTCAATATCACCCTTCTTCTTGCCCTTGGCATGTCTCTTCCTCATGACAAAGGATTGAGCTACCCTTTTTTTCCTTTTCTCAGCCAAGTCAACATGGCAGAACAATGCACCAGACTCAAAGCTGGGGAAGGTAACATTCAAAGTAGAGGGATCAACTGGAAAGGGGAGCTCCATAGTGAACTCTGAAATGACATCACCCCTGACATCAAGGATGGACCTGACATACTGCTGCATGGCATGGCGCCTCACATTGGTATCCTCCAGGTTTTCCTTTGTGTGTTGTTGATAGAGATAATAGAACTCCCCAATATCCAAGAGGTCTTGGTGCCACTTCTCACTGATAGTCAGCTTCTTGCCATTCGCAGAGACCATGGTTTCAATGTCGGCTTCAGTCGCGCCACTGCTCAGCCAGACAATAATAGTGACATGGCGAATGCCATGCTCATTCTCCCACTCCTTCACCATCCTCTTTGGCTTCCAAGTAGCGGGGCCATCCTCGTCAGCATCAGCTTCAACATCATCATCATTGTCAGCAATGGAAGGAAGCTGCGCAACTGCAGGAGGCCTGGCTGCCACGACAGGGACTTGGTTGCGAGGAACAAAGCTGGGAAGAATGGGTAGTGGTCCATCATCATCTTGTGGTGGTTGTGGTCCTCTGAGAGCAACACCAGCAGCCATTCCTCTGGCTTTGTTGAACTGAGAGCGAAACTGGTTTGTGGAGTACTTCTGGAATCGCTCATGCATGGCTCTCACAGCGGCGGGTTGTTCATCAGTGATGGTTCCATTGTGGAACAAGCGAAGTAGGAACTTGAAGTCGGGACCATCTTGCTTGAAGATGTGCTTCACTGGTTCGTTGCCCTTCTTTGCCAGGCTCTTTCTGGAGGACATGGTCGATCTGCCGCTTGTTGATCTGCCGCTTGCTGTTTCCTGCTTGGCCAATTGCTGTTGCTTTGGTTGGTGTTTTCGATTTGTGAGAGGAAGAGGAACAGAGGAAGAGCGCCATCTTGAAGATCGCTTGACTAGCTAGCTAGTTTAC